TACGGACATCAGAAATAAAGCAGTAGGAATCATCAAATGATGCCTGTGCTTTCTAATTGTTCTTTAGGGAGACACATTGAATTAGAATTAGAGTTACGATGATTTTTGATCATGATGAGCTTCTTCTTATTACAAGTGATGGTGACTTGTATAAAACAAAAAAGTCAATAAACACATGGCATGTATACGGTACATATATTAGATATAGGGGTCAAAGACGAAAAGGGGTTTTCAAGCATCAAAACAATAAAAGCTGTTAGATTTTGCTGTAGTTGGCTGAGCAAAGGTTTGGGTGGCTAGCCAATGTATTACATTTCTCTAATACATAAAATAAGTAAGCTTGACCAGAGTTCTCGTGGGGAGAATAATTTTTGAAGGCAGTAGTTCTTCAAAGAATCTTAACCCTTGTAAGAGTCCTAGCTTCTCCCAGAGTTCTGTCTGTGAGACAGAACTTTACACTGGTAGCAAATGGCCTTCAAACAACAGACTGATACCATTAGGACCTCCTACTGGAGAGACAGGATAGAAGAGCCATCCTGTGTATTTGGTTTACATCTTTACAGATTACATCAGGAAAGAGTCACAAGGTGACATATCAGATGTTGATTAAACAAGAAAGAACTATACATAAATACACAAAATCCTTCAAATCTTAATACAGCTTTACATTTTGTCCTGTTTAATTTGACTTTTTCTGAGCAAAACATTATAACTGTCATACATTTTACCATGACATACAGAAAAAAACATTCAGTGTAACAATAGTTCATATTAGAGCTGCACGGTTAATCGTTAAAAGATCGCGATCTCGATTCAGACAACAACACGATCGCATTTCTAAATGACAACGATTCTCCCGCGTCTAGTCTTACCGGATCATTCAAATCTGCGTTCGCACTGCCGCTGACACACAGAGAGCAGTTACCATGTTTGTTTAAGAAACAGCTTCACAAACAGTCTTTTCAACTACACAGTATTATTTATGTGGTACAGTCATTCATATTATCACAGAAATACTGGGATGAAAGTTTATAATTCAGATATAAACATTGATGTCTATGGTAGCGCGACCAAAATAGAGCAAATCCGCGTTTGAAAGTAACTGCCACATAACGTTTGTGTCGATTGCATTATTATACAAAATGTATAATTGAATTAATCATTTATTCAAGAGAATCGTTCAAAAACGCTGATTCATCCAGTAGGTTTATGAGTGAGTCGTTGAATCATTGATTCAAACAACTTTTTAATAATTTTAATATTAAATTGAAGTATTAAATATATTATATTTTAAATACATATCAACAGTCAAAAGTTTTTGAACCGTAAGATTTTTTTTTTTTTTTTTTTTAAGAAGTCTCTTCTGCTCACCAAGCCTGCATTTATTTGATCCAACGTACAGCAAAAACAGTAACATTTTAAAATATTTTTACTATTTAAAATAACTTTCTATTTGAATATATTTTAAAATGTAATTTATTCCTGTGATTTCAAAGCAACATTTATCTGAAATAGAAATCTTTTGTAACATTATAAATGTCTTTATCATCACGGGGGAAGTCGTGGCCTAATGGTTACATTTTAAAATATATTCAAATAGAAAGCAGTTATTTTAAATAGTAAAAATATTTCACAGTATTACTGCTTTTGCTGTATTTTGTATCAAATAAATGCAGGCTTGGTGAGCAGAAGAGAATTCTTTAAAAAACATAAAAAATCTTACTGTTCAAAATCTGTTGACTGGTAGTGTATATTAAAATGGTTAATACTTCATTCAAATTAATTAAACACTTTTAAATAGAATGCAGCAATCATATTTTGCCACACATTATTTTGTTTAGTTCAGAATCGTGGGAGAATCGTGATCTCTATTTGAGACAAAAAAAAATTGTGATTCTCAATTTATCCAGAATCGTGCAGCTCTAGTTCATATACTAAAAAAATCTTGTCAGGTGTGTTTAGAACAAGAATCATTAGATGACATTAAAAGACTGTTTAAGGATCACAGTGCTGCCCGCAAAAACTAATTCATTGTCAATTTAAATCTTTACCACTATCCATCAAACAATTAGGTTTTACCCATTTGTCAGCAAGAAGTTTTTAATCATTTAAACTATAATAAAATTTAGTATGATTATGTATTCTTTTATACACTTTATTAAGTACAGGTCAGAACAAGTATGTTGTATGTTTGATGCAGACACCAAAATGGGACGTCTTGTCTTTCACCCATAGACATAAAGTCTTTAAAATGTCTTTACTGTCAACTTAATGTATTCTTGCAGAATAAAAATAAATCTTACTGACTTCCAAACCTTTGAGTACAGTAGTGCATATTAAATATATACACATATTTAGAATTTTTGTATTTGTTGTACTATTTGCTTTCTGTTGATCTTGGTTGCTGACATCCAAGGCAAATTCTACTGTATCTCTGTGATGACAAATAAACTGATTTTGAACTACCCTATAAGCACTGAATTTGAATTTTAAACTCTCCTTAATTTACAAGAACCAACCAGCAGATGTCAGGCTTGGAGAATTTAAAAAAGTCCTTATTCAAAAGCAAACATAAAAAAAAAAAATTAAAGAACTTGCATTGACTGAGTATTTTAAATCTAGACTCTTATGATGAACAGAAATCTCACTTCCTATCTTACCTGTATCATAGCTGCACGTCCAGAGTTTAACAGTGGAGTCAGAAGATGCCGAGGCCACCAGTAATTGAGAGGAGGACAGAGACATGGCATCCACTGCACACACGGGCCCCGAGTGTCCCGAACACACTGCACATGCTGTGAGCTGCAGCAGAAGATGGGACAAACTCAACTCATTTTTTTTTTACTTTTGTGAATATCCATTTAGACAGATTTACAAATCACAGATTTGAAGTCCATAACTGACAAAGCTGGGTCATTCCTGTTCTACGGTTCTTTTTTGGGGGGTTTTATCATGCTGCAGAATTCATTTTATCAAACAGGATGATTTGACAAACAGTTTGACCATTCCATTCCAAATCCATTGCTAAAACCGCTTGTGCTGTTGTTTTCCCACCAGAAATAATGAGGATTATGCCATTGAGGATCTGGGCACGTTGCAACAAACCTATTAAGTTAAGAAATCAATTAGTTACAAATATTTATAATTGTGACAACTAGTTACATCACGTTATATTTGTAAGAGTGTTATCACCAAGGGCTATCTTAACATAAGGGATTTGTCGCAACTGGTTGCTATTCAAAAGATATTCCAAAAGATGGAAAGGGATATTGAAATCCGGTGGAAAGTTATATAAAGACCAGTTTTTTGTTTTTTTTAAGGCAGCTTGAAATTCACCTTTAAGTTTATGTTAAAAACAAATCTTTAAAAGCTGTTGATTTATTATTTAATATTTTATCCAATGTATTGCATAACAGAAACGACCCAATTATGTTGTCAGCATAAGTGTTCATATTTACTGTTGCTATTGTACACACATACCTTCCCATCCTGCTTCTCCCAGACAATAACATGATTATCTGACCCACCGGATACCAGCTGGGTTTCCGGACCTGCAGAAATCTTTGTTTGTATTTTGTCTGACAGTGACAGGCAATTGAATAATGTCTATGCATGAAGATAAAAGACTTCACACTTTTTCAAACCTCTGAAATTGAAATATCTGTCAACAGCCTATTTGACATTTCTTAATGATGGTCAAAGTAAGACTTACTGCAGTCTTGTTTATGAACCCACTGGACAGCATTCACTCTTCCAGTGTGTTTATTCAGCACCTCAACAACCCTTATTTCCTGGTAACAATTAATAAACAAAATCTAGATAAGACACCTGTCACACTTTCACAGTCACTTGTCACAGATCTTATTTGACAGTTTATCAAACACTAAAGACATTTACTATGAAACTACTCGATCAGAAGAATGTATACTCTAAACACAGGTTCGAGTTCACAGTCTGCACTATGGATATGCCGGTATCAAATTTTCATGTTGCGATTAATTGCTAATGCGTTTATCACGGTATACGGTATTATCACGATATTGAAATGTAGTTTTAAAAAAAGTGCTGTCATAATACAGTATAACAGGTTTAATAACTTTTTTCTTATAACAAAAATAACTGAACATTTAAATGCAATAAAGCAATACAGAAAAAAATTATAAAGTTAAAAGTTTTACACAGATTAAAGTGCAAAAGAACTATAAAGATCAATAGGTATCACTTTACAATAAGACCTTATTAGTTAACCTTAGTTAATGCATTAACATTCACAATGAGCATTAGCTACATTTGCTACAGAAGTTATTAACCTTTGTTAAAAAAAAATACAAGTCTTAGTTCATGTTAGCTCATTAAATAATACAGTTGCAACTTTCGATTTTAACAACGTGTTATTTGTAATATATAATTATTCACGGTATTTAGAAGAGCCCACGATAACAATATCGTGCGGTCATTACCGTGATGTATCGCATTACCGAATACCGGCACAAGTCTAGTCTGCACATCACTGCATTAAAGAATCGGAACTTGTAAGTGCATATGTAAGTGTAATAACATGCGGAGCATCAGCATCACCTCAACTAAATCAAGTGAACAATCATACAGTCAGTACCTGTGGATTATAAAGGGCAATTGAATTACATGTCCCAAATGCGATAAGACCTCCTCTGCCCCATGACACAACATTAGGAGTGCGATTAACACAACAAGAGACATGACATGTGTCTATTCCGGGCGCTGCCATTTTCGACTCTGCTGTGTGTTACAATTAAAAAATAACCGGGAGAATAAGCCACGATAGTAGTTCCTGAAAGAGTTATTTAAAAATACGTTTCTCTAAAAATATAGTTGTAGTGGATTGAATAACAATTAGTTAGCATTTATTATCAGATAACGTAAATTAAGCAAGACACAGTTATGCAAAACACCGGCAGATACCGCAACATAGAGTAACCGGATGCAAATGCAGAGCGGACAATATTTTTGTGTAACTTAATTTGTCGTCCGGCTTCAAACGTCACTGTTTAGATATGACCAGACTGTATCAGCCTCTCTAAAGTTTTTTTTTTCTTCTTCTTTTTGACATAATTGGTGGTTGTTGACATGGAAGACAGTGAAAAGAAAGCCCCATCAGTGATCGATCGTTATTTCACCCGCTGGTATAGAACTGGTAATATGTTCTGATCAGTATTGTTTGTTCTTACTTCAACTCAATGCATATTCAGATTAGCGTTTTTTAATATATACATTTTTAAGATTAATTGACTGATTGATTAATGAGATTGATTGGTTTGTTGTAAATGCTGATGTAGATCTAAAGGGAAAATCATGTGAGGATCACTGCATTCTACAGCACTCCAACAGGTAGATAGATATATTATATTCTCGATCTATATATTCGTATTACTGTGTAATTTTTTTTAAGTGTTTCTTCAACTACGTACACTTTTGCAAGGTCAACTTATTTCAATTAGCAGACAACAACGTTTTTCTTTTTACATGAATATCACTATATTAGAAACTTTTGTATTTTTTTCTACACTTCAAATGCATTTTATGTCTAGATTTTAATCAGTACATAAATCCCAGATTCAGATTTCAATCTTAAAAACTATAAAGATACTACTACACATTTTAAACCACTATTATCTAAACCAGTCATGTGTATTTATTTTATGAAATGGTCTTTATACATTTTTACAGCTGCTACACAATTGTACACAGTCAGCTGAATACATAATCTGAGATGTAGGTTGAAATGACACCATGTTGCAAATGTTCACGATGTCCGTATTTCCACTGTTCTTTTTTTTCTGAAAGTCCACAGGGTCAAAAGTGTTAATAGTTGGAGAAACGCCCCTCTATACTCATCTCTAAACTCTGCTTTCTTCTTATAAGGATATGCGTCATCACACTTGCTGAGTCTCATCCTATCCTTCAGAACGGACGAAAAATCAAAAACATAAACTACCAGATCAGTGATGGATGCAGCCGTCTGAAGAACAAGGTGTCTGGAAAGTCAAAGCGAGTGAGTACTTTTGCCTTGAATGATTTTCACACTGTCAGTGCATCAATCAATACACTAATGATTGTGATTAATTACTTGTATATCTTGATTCACACTTTCCCTGATCATCAGTAAGGATAATTTATTCTGTAGGGTGGTCAGTTCCTGACAGAGTTTGCGCCACTGTGTAGAATAACGTGCACAGATGAACAGGAGTACACTATATTCAGGTCAGTTACACAGACAGCCGCTGGATATACATAACATTCAGTTTCTATAATCTTAAAATTATGTCAATTCAACCCATATTTCCCCAGCTGTATCAGAGGACGTCTCCTCGAAGTAAATGAAGCCATTCTGAACAAGCCAGATCTGTTATTAGAAAAGGTGACTTACAGTACAGCTTAAAAAATAAAATGGAAAATCTCCTTTTAACCTTTTCCAAATTTAAGACCACATGTGTGAATTGTGCGTTCTTTTTTTTTGGCACAGCCTTCCACAGAGGGATACATTGCAGTTATATTACCTAAATTTGAAGAGAGTAAGAGTGTCACTGAAGGCCTTCTGACCAGAGAACAATATGAGGAGGTTCTCACGAAAAGAAACCAACAAGAAGAGCCTTGCTGAGATCAACCTGCACTTTGAAGCTACTGACTGCTGAGTCTCTTTTGAAGAATAATTGCTTCAAGCAGGTTAAAAACGTCAGTGGCATCATGGCTGTGTGCCACTTACATTAAAAAAAAAAAACATCTTGAGAAAATGACGACTTGAAGGAATGAAGACTTGTCTGCTGGATCCAGAACAGTCTTGGATTTCACTGGAGTGCATTTTGTTTGACCACTATTCATGAGATATATGTGTCCTGGGTATTGTTTAGTTTATGGTTTCATTAAAACTGTTTTAATTTGAGAATTAGCTGGTCTGTGTCCTCGCAGACACATTATTTCCCTTCCGGTTGCTGTAAAACTGCTTATAGCCCTAACTTTTTGGAGATCATTATAGTTTGAGTAAATGCTAAATAAAGGAACAGCTCCCTTCTGAGCATTTTCAACTGGCTCTTATGTTAGTTATGTTTTTATTCAGTCAATTTATTTTACACAAACTAAGGTCAGTGCTCTCAAAACAATTAACTGCCATCTGAACATTTTGTAATTTTTCCAAACAGATTGCACAGATAACATGACAAACATTTTCATATACATAACGTTTAAAAAATAAAAATAAAAACTTACTGACCCAAAACTTGCATACACTGGTGTATGTAAACATGTATTTTCAATATAGCTGAACATATAACCAACAGAAAACATTTAAATAGTTTTGATGTTAGTATGTGCTTTTAATAAATGTGTTGATTGAAGACAATACGTCGTTAGTTTGGAGAAATGTGTAAAACTGAATAAGCATGTCATGTTTTGTGCATAAATAAATCACTCGGACATAATTATTTTAAGAAAAATAATGTATATTTAGATTTCATTTGATCTGATTTCACAATCATTCAATGGTCCAACACTAATACAACTTTAGGTCATAGCTGCACAATCATCTCTAAAGCTTATGGTTTGACTGACTGTAGTATAAATCAGAGGAACATTTTAGCAAAATATCAACTAGAATTGGTGTGTGAATAGAAACCCAATACTGAAGAGCCTTTTAATCTGTGCCATACTAAAAAGTTGCTCTTCAGTACACGACAGCTTAAACTATTGATTTATATACCGTTTTACTGTAACCTTTTAGGTTAATGTACCAAAGCTTGACTTACATTGTTAGGACTGAAGTAAAAATACAAATCACAGTGACCTACAAGGCAGTCAATAATATTACAAGGCTGTCACTCCTACGAAAGTACATTTAAAGAGACAGTTCGCCCGAAAATGAAAATCCTGTCATTAATTACTTGCCCTCATGTCATTCCAAAACTGTATGATCTTCTATGGAACATAAAAGATGCTGTTTTGAAATATGTTTCAACTTTTTTGTCCATACAATGAAAGTCAGTGGGTCTACAACAACAAAGGAGTTTTTTGAGACTTCAAAATCACTTATTTTTGTTTCACAGAAGTCATACTGGCTTGGAATGACATGAGGGTAAGCAAACGATAACAGAATTTTCATTTTTGGGTGAACTATCCCTTTAAAAGGAACTGTCTTTTTCATTATCGTCCATCAGAAATGCCTCTTTGGAAAGTAACATTCCCTGCTGTAAACTCTCAAACAGAATCAAAATGCTGATTTCTCATACTAATATCCAAAGTCACTGAATTTCCTTCAGCATTGAGCAGACTGCCCTGTGGCAAGACCAGTGTAGAAAGATGATTAAAACTGGATATATTTGGCATTGTACATGAGGCAGTTTTGTTAAATACAGTGTTACAGTTTGGTTTTTTTTGCATCAAAACTTTTATCATGTACACCTCAATGTTGGCTAATCATGAGAAACGCAGCTGAATATTGTTTCAGTTAAAACCGTAGCTTATTTACCAGCCATTACACTTGAAAGAGTCGCATAATGATCAAACACATGCAATCAATAAAGGGTTTTTTCTTCAATATTTTTTGGTGTCTGGAATGCGGCTGGTAATGCTATTGTACACCACAAAACGAATGGGCAGAAGCACAAAGAATGGCACGTTGTGAGCGAGTGCATTGCACTGTGTGAGAGAACAGGCAGAAGCGCTATTTGCTCTCCAGGAATGTTAGATTGGCCATGTGCTGCTCAAGGGATTTGACCCCAAAGCCGTTGGAGCCTTTGCCATTCAGAGTTTCCTCGCTGACGGTCGTGTTCGACTGCTTCTCCCTCCAGTGCTGAGGTGAAGCTACACAGCTGCGTTCTGATTTACACTGGAATTAAAGGTAGAAGATAGAGTTTAATATAAACATGCTCTAAAGCTTGATCATGCACATTTTTTAAATGATGGAACAGAACATAAATCACACCAGAACATTGATTAAATAATAAGTTAGGATGCACAATATATCAGTTAAAAAGAAACATTTATTTAAAGCTTTTTAAATTGATTATTAACATTCAATATTGTAACAATTTAATCAGCTAGAATTTTAATAACAGTGCATCCGTAACAATGACATAATAGCATAACACTGTCCTAACCAGTGTTATTTTAACATGGAGATACTATTATTTTTATTTTACTTCATTTTTTATTTATATTTAAATTAGTTTTTGTTTATATATTTTCTGTTTTCATTTTAATTTTGGTTAAAATTTGAGGAATTTTGTTGTGTTTATGTATTTTTTTTTATATATACTTTTTGTTAATTTTATTTCAGTTTTAAGTTGAGTTATTTTAGTATATCAAGTTAAATTAAATGAAAATGAGAAATGTGACAACTGAAATATAAGCTGAAATAAAACGTTTAAGTTTTTTTATATTTTATTTTCAGCATCTAAAGTTTTTTTTATGGCTTTAGTTTAACTTTAACTTTAGTTTAACAAAGTTAACTATAGTAACCCTGTTCCTTATCACAATGCGATCCTTTACATGTAAATCTGAGATTTTGTCCTAACCAGCCACAACTGATAATAAAATTCAGGCTGATACTGATAAGCTGATGATTATTGTCTCAATGGCAAGCTGATAATTATTGTCTCATTATAATGTACAGTATGAAAAATGGATATTCCTTTTGAGATTTGCTAACACTGACATTTAAAAATGTTATCAAATCATTATATAGTTTTTAAAAATTAAGTAAGTGTTAGATGACGGCTTGAATGTAATCTAAATATAAAAATACAACTAATGAGCAAACACAATTAAATATATAACATCAACCGATATGGATCAAATTAAAAAGTTAATCTAGATCGTCATGTTGCTACCTACCTTTCTGATGAGCTTATTACAGATGGGCAGTAAATAGACCACCACTGTCAAGATGCCTTTTGTATTCTGTATTGATGAGTCAACCTGAACAAGACAAGAAAAACAGATGGATCATTAGCTGACCAAACTACCCAAAATACCGTTTTGTTAACAAGTACACCTTGTGGCTGCTTGTTTGGGCCCACATTTCAGTAAAGCTATCATTTTGCAGCGACAACAATCTATACATTATAGACTGGTTCACATATAATTGGTTGTTGTGAAATAATATGCGAGGGCTCCAGAAGACAAGCTGGGAGATCCTGATTAAGCTTGTTTTTCTGGAGAAAAATAGTTTTCTTGGTTCCACAGCACGACACAAACATAGCCTCTATAAACCTATTTAAACCTGCCTCTGGCTGTGACCTTTGCTTTATCAAAACAGAAGGATGACCCTGGACAGCATGCCATTTTATCAGGTTAAATGGAGTCAGGAAATAGAGTGAGGTCAGAGTCTTTGCAGGAGCAACAGATCTATTATCTAATCACATGTGGCAGTAACCTGTGACTTTAAACTTTAGTTTATATTGTTCTCTTTAAATGTCTAAATTCAGGTGAATCTATATCATTTGAATCCTCAGATTCTAAATTATGAATTAAAGTGCATTACAAAACAAAAACAAACAAAAACCCTACTCATGTCTTATCTGCTCCATTCACTGATGTACAAGAAGAGTCTGTAGCTGTTATACTGCATTACCTTCTGAAAGATGGCACTCTTGCCCTGAACCGGAGTCTTGGCACAGACCTGCAGTTGTTGACATGCGTCTGACAGCTTCTCTGTCTCAGATAGAATAAGGATTCTGTCTTCATCCAGCAGCTATAACAGACACAACATGTGGCCTTAGCATTTAAAGCAGAACACTTGAGAGATGAGAACTCTAAACAAACTAACACAGCAGCTCTTTTGCTTGAAGACTCGTTTTCTACATTAGACAACATTTTTTATTATGTTCTTTAAAAATGGAAAAGTATAAACATGACATAGGCTGAATAGGACACTTGACAATTTTTTTAATTCAAGGAAAACAAGCTGATAGACTACACTTGTATACTGGCTTTATTTTGCTTCAAAAGTTAGTTTTTCATTATATACCTATATATCAAATGTTTCTTAAGCAGCAAAAGCTGTTTTCAACATTGATAATAATAAGACAAGTTTCTTGAGCACTAAATCAGCATATGCTTTCATCTGACAATGAAGACTGAATTAATGATGGCGAAAATTCAGATTTGCCATCACAGGAATAAATTACATTTTAAAATATATTAAAATAGAAAACAGTTATTTTTAACCTGAAATTACTCTGAGAATAAAATATTTTAAAAAATCATAAATTACAGAATATACATATATATATATATATATATATATATATATATATATACACACATACACATACACATACTATTATATTGTGGCATTTTGTTTTTTTATGCACATAGCATTGCTTTCCTTTCTACGATCCTTTCAGGACTTCCTGTGGCAAGGACAAATTTAACAATCTAATAGCCCTAATTGAGACTTTCACGCAAAACTACATTACAGGTTTGCCAAAGTGAGGTAATTGCTGAATTTGAACTGATGGATAAATAAATGGACGCAAGCAATTTGATTTAGCTATACTCTGCTTACAGCTGGGGAAATGCATTGTGGGTCAGGCATGTTTGAGATTATTAATCAAACTGTGCAGTGTACCACAAGTGTCAGGCTCTGTGATTATGGATGAGTGGCCCCTGTCCGCCCCAGCCGGAGCAGGGTTAAGTAACACTGATCCACGTCTCTGTGGTCCCAATAAGATGGATGGCAGTCATTACAGTCCTTTATTTACAGGCGTCTAATTAAACTGTGGTACATAAGGGCCTGGTGGGCATGTGGGTGCGTTACCTGTGTGGAGAGAGAGTGGAGGATGTGGCACAGCTGGAGACCTTGGTCTGACAACACCTAGAAAACATTCCATAATGTAAGGCCTTACTCTGTACCAGAGTAAATGTTACACAATTTTAATTTAGCAGGGTTATGAAATATAGTGATTCAAATCACACAAACTAGTTTAAGGTGCATCAAGATTTTTTTGCATTAAAGTAAATTGCCTAAAATGGATGAGTTTTGGCTTTGTTTCCCTATTGTTTTCAAGACTGCTGAAGGTAATGGCTGAAGTAGTTTGACCAATAGCGTGCAGTCCTTCAGGGCGTGTGAGAAGGTGGGATCTACAGAGAACGGTCAGAGCAATGCAAATACACGTACACATAATATGTGAAGCCTATAGAGCATGTCAATTGAAAAACAAAGCCAAAACCCAGACATTTTAGACAATTTAAAAATCCCAGCCAGGACATGTTCATGAAAAAGTGGATGTATGGTCACCCTAAGTTAATTCCACATAAAGGCCCATTCACACCAAGAATGATAATGTTCAGTTTATTATTAGCACATGCAACAGTTTTGTCATCTGTTACTTTAAATGCTCAAGCTATTTAAAGTCAAATTAATTCTGATTGGCTGTCAATGTTTTTATCATTCATCAGCTGAAAAAAAAT